ATGAACAGTTGACACATTTAGTCAGTGTGATATAGATTTTCAAGCACATCCCCTACAAGGCAATACGTTCAACATGTAAACAAACTGGGCATCTTGAATCATGTTGAACATGTCCTTTCCTTCCTCACAAAACAACAGGTTGAATTTATGAACAAAGTCAAAAGTGTTGATTTTTTCACATATTTCAGCCACCCTACCCTACCCTACAAAACAATACGCTGAACAGACGAAGAAAATTCTCATTTTGAATCAAATTTGCGATTTACCACCCATCGACCCTACCAGGTAAAATGTTGAACTTGTGGAAAAAGTTGACTGGCTGAGTTCTTCTGATAGGTTTACCTCATCAAAACACTACGTTTAACCGTTTAACATAGTTGAACATATGAACCAACGTGGCATCCTGAGTCATGTTCAAAATGTATTCTTTGTTATCTTTATTCCACCCTTGCAAAGCAACACGTTGACTATGAACACAGATGAAGGGTTAAGTCAGTTCAAATTTCTTTATGCCTCCCCCCGCCACAAGACAATATGAATGTTGAACACATGAAACAAATTCAGATCTTGAGCCAGTTTTGAAATTGATTCCCCCCTGACCTCACCATGAAGTTGACATGTTGAGTCGGGTCATTGCTACAAACTTGCCCGCCTGTCCCCTACAAAACACTACGTCCGTTCAACATTAAAGCTAACTTGGCATCTCGAGTCATGATTCAAATGTCATTTCCTTCCCCTACAACAAAACAATACGTTGAACAAATTAAGACAATTCATCTTGAGTCATTTTTGAAAGTTACGACCCCCCGACCCTACACAGCAGTACGTTAAACATAGAAAATTGGCATATTGAGTCATTTTGTAGATTTCGTCACTGTCCTCTTGAAAGCACTACGTTCAACATATGAACCAACGAGGCATCCTGAGTCATGTTCAAAATGTATTCTTTATTCCTCAAAAAACAATACGTTGAATATGCGTATGAACAAAGTTGAAATGTTGATTTGTCTTGAAACATTTCACCCCCCCCTCCCTTTCCAATTCATACATTGAACAAATGAAGAAAAATTGCATCTTGAGTCATTTTTGCAATTTACAACCCCTCGACCCTACAAAAAACGTTTAGCATACCGAGAAAGCTTACATGTCGCGTCAGTTTTCAAATTTACCCTTCTCGACCCTACAAAGAAAATAGTTGAACATTTCGGAATTTTACCAACACCTTGACCCTACAAAAAAATACATTCAACATATGGATCAAGTTGACATGTTGATTCATTCTTTTGGATTTACCTGCCCTGTCCCCTACAAAACATTATGTTTAACGTATGAATCAGCATGGCATCTTGACTTATGTTAAAAATGTTCCTTGCCTTCCCGTACAACAAAACCACGCGTTGAACAAATGAAAAAAAGGAATCTTGAGTCATGATTGAAATTTACAGCCCGTCGACCCTACAAAGCAGCACGTTGAACATATGGAGAGATTTCGCAAGTCGAGTGATGCTTGGAATTTCCGTCCCCTCGGCCCTGCCAGACAAATGGTTTAAGGTATGAAGAAAGTTGCCATGCGGAGTCATTTTTAAATTTTACATCTCCTCGACCCTACTTAGCTAGCACCCCCTTGTGGAGTCATTGTTAAAGATCTACTCCCCTGTACCAGTGTCAATTTGTGGTATGTGATACTCCATGTAAAGGCCAGGTTGTCACATGTAGTGTCTGCTGCCATTTCGGCTATCAGGGCCCTTGAGCTACATCGCTATCGCTACTAGCAAAAAGAGCCGCGTTGGACTGCACGATACCGTTGCCAATTCACATTGGTAGCGGAGCAGGTGACGACCTGTCTCCGGGTACGTGTCAGATCCAGGGATTGAAAATAGTAGAAGTTTGAATCGGATTTGTTCTTGGAACTTTTTCTGCCGAAATCGTCTGATCCCTGTGGGACAGACCTGCAATTGGCTGACCTTGGGTATAGGCAGTCCATCGCAAAGGAATCGTAGAAATGTCAGTAGCTGGACTTAGGTTTGGTTCTGACCGATCCACTGTGCCCCTAGAGACCAAGAGTGGATCATACATATACCATGGGGATGCAGCACATTATCATGATTGGGAATTCCGGACCCTTTTGCGAATAAAGCTGTTTGATTCAAAGAAAGATGTAGAATCCTCCCCAACCGGAAGGAGTGCCGAGCCCGTTGGGCCGGACTCTGAAGCTGATGCTGGGATTTCACCCCATCCGCGCCCAGGCCGGCCAGATGACGAAGCCGGAGCCTCTGCCAGTCGAAGCCCTAAAGGGGATGACACGGGTCGAGATCGTAGTGTCTTAGTCAACAAGGTCGTAGAAGGTCTTCGAGGTGATGCCTTTCTCATTGCCAGAGATCTCGGTTTGGAGACTCTGTCCCAAGAGGAAGGTCTTGAACGATTGGTTGAACGAATCAAGGCCCATGTTTTTCCCAGAGCTCAAGAAGAAGCCAAAGAACTCTTCAGAGCAGGGCAGAAAGCAGGTGGAGTTTTGTCCCGACAACCCCAAGAACCCATGCTGAGTTATACTCAACGCAGACGCAGATGGTGGAGAGTGTTGACCGAGCTTGATCCTTCCATGGCACTTTCAGATGGACTCCGTATGGAGCTCATGCTTGAACTGTCAGGTCTGAGCCGGCAAGAGGTACTGGTCGTAAAAGCATGTGCCACCACCAAGGACTTTGAAGGAGTTGCTAAGGTGTTGGTTGATCAGTATTCAGGAATCCATTTGAGGGAAGGATCCAAGTCTTGGGTTGGACGTTCATCTACCCCACAACAGTATGGGAAGTCTGGTAAGGGATATGGAAGTTCCAAAGGACCCCAAAGTGGTAAAGGTTCCTACAAGACAGCCTACAATGCCTATCCCGATGAGGAAGGCTATGGTTATGGTGACCATGATGAATACCAAGAGGAATACTATGAAGAGGATGCACCATACGTAGGTCTGCTTGGTGGGATCGAGGAACATCCAGAACAATCAAGTCCAAATGTTGACAATCCCTATGAAGCCTTTGACTTTCACGACGAAGTTGATGAGTATGAAGCCACTGCCCTGAATGCACTAGTGGATTTAGGAGATGAACCAACTGAAGATGACAAGAGCCTTGGGGAAGCTCTCCAACTCCAACTAGCTGCATTCGCAGCCTTCGGACGTGTGAAAGGAAAGGGTAAAGGCAAACCCAAAGGAAAAGGGAAAATCATCAGGTCCAACTTGTCCATCGAACAGCGCAGGAAGCGCCTTTCCGAGATTAAGGCCAAGTCAAAATGCCTTCGCTGCGGCGCCTACGGGCACTGGGCAGGTGACCCAATTTGTAAATTCCCAGGTGCAAAGGGGAATGCTAATGCCAAGGATTCAAAACCCCCATCGAATCCTCCTAGGCCAACAGCGCACTTTGCAGACTTCTCGGAATCTTCATCAGATGAGGGAGTTTTCTTGAGTGCATCATCACCCAAAACACCAGTTGCAAACATGGCCATCAAGAGTGCAGCTGCCCTTTCAAAGGCACCCAGTTTGGGACCTCCCACAACTCCGGTAGGACGAAATGACCCGTCAAAACCTATTGGGAGTAACACGAAGTTCAAGTTTGGCCAGTTTAAGGGGAAGACGTTTTGGGAGATCTTGCATGATCATCCTGACTACTTTGCATGGACACAGAAGAACGCCAAGAGTCCAGGAGCCTCAGAGTATGCCGAGTGGGTGAACCAAAACTTTGAGTATCGGGGGAACATAGTGTATTGCAGAAGTAGTTTGGAGCCACCACCACCTCTTCCAAAGCAACACACACGTTTGAGGAAGCCACCGAATCCACCAAAGGAGAAGTGTGCCAATTGCACCCAATTCACTCGTCAGGGGAGTACGGGTTACACCATCAAGGAGACATGTCTGGTTTGTGGCCATTCAACTACTACCAGGAGAGAACTACTCCCCCAATATCCTTATGACCAGTGTCCACATGCAGACAAGGATTTTCGTGGTTCTTCAAGGTCTGTTCACCGAACCTTTTGTAAGCAGTGTTGCACGTATCTGGATGAGACTCCGATGGAGCTCCAAAGGACCCGAAAAGCAGTCTCCACCAAAGTCTTGGAAGCACCCCTGGAAAGAGTTTCCATCATTGAACAACTGGTTGATGATTCCAAAGATGCGACCTTTAGCCCCGACATGCTGGACATGATCCTCAATGATTTTGCCACCTTAGTCGCTACCAGTTCTGAATCTGAGGCCATCACTTCGACCAAGCTGCATGAACTTCTCCACCAATCCATCGCCAATGCAGAAGGAGACAGCAGTTTTACCATGGTTGGTGATGTGGAAAACCCTGGGGAAGATTTTGCAGGTCTCGGAGTGTGTTTTCATGGGGACGAGCCAGATGTAGAGATGTCTGATGGCTTGGTGCATTTTGGTGCATGTGTTCCAAGAGACCCGTGACATGTACGACATGAGTGATCCCAATATCTATGTCGTGTTGGATGAGGGGTGTAACTCAACTTGTCACTCCAAACATTGGGCTGAGGTAGTAACTGCCAAGCTGAAGAACTTGGGATACCAGTTTCCATTCAATGACACCAAGGGGAAAACCTTCTCTGGATTGGGGACCGGGGGAACCTCAACCGAGGGATCCCGTACATTGCCTTTCAGCCTGAATTTCATGGACAGCAAGTGTACACCCATTCATGGGGTACTTGAGACGCACCAACTTAGCTCCGGGACATCACCACTCTTGCTGTCACTGCATGCTCAAGCCCATCTTGGACTTGTCAAGGACTTGAAGAATGGAACAGTATCCATTGATGGTAATCAGTTGCCAGTTTTCAGATGTTCTCATACAGGTTTGATGATGTTAGCAATCACCCCAAATCAAATTGATCCGACAGGAAAAACGTCCAATCACATTTCACAACAGATCCCAAAGTGCCACAGAAAGTTTCGAACTGCCTTCGCCGCCCTATCCGACGAGCCTGGTTCGCCGTCGGCCAGTGAGATGTTGAGGTCTCCAAGTGGCTACAGCTCGTCAAGCGCAGATCACATCGAAGGTGCCGTGAACAACTGCCTGAGGGGACTGGACAGATCCCGATGCCTTGTGGTCACTTCAGGTGCTCGTTGGACAGGTCGACAGCCAAGCTTCCCTGGTGCTAAGGTTCTTCAGATTGACTGCAGGCATTTCCATGATCCTGACAGCGACAGATCGATCCGAGGTTGCACTGGACGACATCCTAGCATTATCCGAGGAGTTGCACTTCATGAGGCAATGAATGACCTCGTTGAGCAGGTGACAGATTTCTTGAGGGCTAACCCGAATGGGAAGCTCGTGATCCACTTGTACTGCACCAGTGGTCGTCATCGCAGTGTTGGATTGGCAGCTTTGATCTACTACTTCTTGGACGTGACTGATTGGAGGAAGCCTTTGCTGATCCATTATCACAGCCCGGAGTGGCGTGAGATGACTTGTGGAGGTCATTGCAGTCTTTGTGCAACAGCCGACACCAGAGAGCTTGGAAACTTGATGAACAGGCATCTTCCTGACGTGCGTGTTGTGGATGTGGATGAACCTGATAGGTCATCAGGAGTTGCTAGGCCGCCTGAGCCTGTTAGGCCACCGGCACCAGGGCCTACTACAACGGCGACGAGATCTATCCCCACGTTGACACCATCCAGGACTGTGCCAGTTCCAGTCCGTGCTCCTATGACACCATCCTTTGGAGGTACATCGACGAGAACGCCTTTGACACCCAGGTATGTTCCAGCATATCCACCTCCAAGCCGTAGTGCTCGAGACTCATCTCGTGGAGGAGCACATCACGAAGGAGACGAACGAGGCCGTGATTATGGAGGACAAGACCGAGACTTAGCAGTACAGGTTCTTGCTAATCAGGTCCAGGAGCTCTCAGGTCTTGTGAGACAGGTGCTTGAAGGAGAACGAGCTGATCGTGGAAGGACCAGAAGAAGATCCTCTTCGAGCGGCAGGCGTGGTCGGCGATCTCGAAGCAGACGCCGTGTGTCATCTCCAAGGGTACCTTCTCCAAGGACCCCTCCATCACCACCGAGGCCACCGATTCGACACCCATGTGATGAGTCTCAGCGTCAGCGACTTGAGAGGGAACTCCGCGACATCTTGAACGACAACAGCGGAGACCCATATCGCTGGAATGTCGATGAAGACATCCTTTCTTGGATCATCTCTTCTGCAAAACTGTGGGGAAACAGAGATCGGGTGATCTGGATTACAGACCCCAGCCTTCCTCATGAGGAGCAGCAGCAGCAAGGCATCAGGGTGGACATCAAGCTCAGATCCCACGTGAGGAGCACTTTGATTTCAGGTGGCAAATGGATGAATCGACAGGGTTGGGTGAAATCGTCATTCTATCGACCACGTGATTCCGCAGGAACATTGTGGAACAGACTTCAACGGGAAGAAGCTGTTGGAGAGAACGTCGATCTCCCGACTACTTGGGCCGATTTGGTGATCTTCTCACATCGAGACGTGCGCCCGCGAGCATATACGGGGCGCGTGGTTTTGTTGTCAGGTGATCAGGGTTTTGAGGGCAGTATCGCACCAAAAACGGGGCCCCAAAACGCACCAAAAACGGAGCCCCAAAACGCACCAAAAACGGAGCCCCAAAAGAGCCAGAAATATGTCCCCAAAACAAAAGTCCATTTGCAGAGTCGAAAGAATCCTCCAACTCCACCACAGCCAAGTCGGTTTATGATTTGTACAGATGATGACATGTTCAAGGGAAACCCCAAGATTCAGACCCCGAAAGATGAGTCAACCGACTATAGCACAAGTTCATCCGATGAGAGCCCTGTTGCCAAACCTGTGAAAAGCAAATCCTCCAATGGAAAGCCTTGTCATGAGAAAACCCCCAAGGATGAAGTGATCATCAAAACCGAACCCGGTGATGTACTGCCAGTTGGACTCATGGCCAGAGATCCAGATGGTCCCAACATGCATGAAGTTGTTCTGGACTCTGACACCGATGTTGAAGTGCATGAACATGGTCCAATTGCCATCCAACCCAATGAGAGAGTCACCATGGGTAGGAAACACCGTAAAGCAGTGTTGGACGGTATTGCCAATTTGAACAAGAACGACATGATGATCCAGAGTGGACTTGGTTTGATTTCCAATCCCAATCGAGATAGCAAGACAGTTGTTTTCACTTCCCATCCGTTCGTGTTCGTCCAGGAGTCTGGCCAGCCTTCGGTCGACGTGATCGACGTTGGTGTGGGGGCCAGTCATCTTGACCCTGAATTTGACCCCAAAGATTTTTGTAATCTGTTGGAGGGGTATCAAAACATTGTCATTGCCATTGGATACAACAACCCAAATGATCCATTGGGACATGGTCGTTTTCTGGCAGAAGTGGAGTTGATGTGCGACTTGGACAATTGCAAGTTTCTGCACATAGATGTTGCCATGACTGATCGATGGGAGAAACATCAACACCCCCAAACACCATATATCAATGACCATGGTTTGGCATTCACATGCAATGACGAACAGTGGACCCATGAGTTTGAATCTTGGTTTCGTGGACAGACGATGGACGATGTCTTGTCTTGGAAGTTTGCAGATTGGATTGGGAGTTGGGCCAAGGAAGATGATTTGAACCATCAAATGGGGATAGCGTTTGTGGGGGACATGCATGAAGAAGCACATGAAGAGCATCAACGACTTGACGCCCTCTGGGACTCCGATGACAGAGCCCAGGTGAACCCTGTTGAGGAACTGATTTCTGAGGAAACCCTCATTGACGAAGTCGAGATTCCAGGACTTCCACAAGATGAGGTGGAGAGACGCAGGCAGTGGAGAAAGCTTCCAGCCAGAGTGAGGATCGCTGTCAGGCGACTTCACCGTCAGTTTGGTCATGTGCCGAGGCAGACCATGATCCACTTGCTTCGTGCTGCCAGGGTTCGAACAGAGTTATTGATGCAGTAAAACTTCATAGGTGCACAGCATGTGAAGAAACATCCCGAAAGAAACCCACACACAAAACTGCATTGCCCCACAACTACTCTTTCAACCATAGCTTGGGAATTGATGTTTTTGAGATCATTGATGCAGGTGGTTCCAAGTTTCAAGTTTTGAACATGGTAGATCTTGGGACGACATTTCAACTGTGCGAGGTTGTCAGAACAGGCCAGGGACAGCCATCATCCAGTGAATGTCTGAAGGCCCTGCAGAAACGTTGGTTTTCATGGAGTGGACACCCAGTGAACTTGATGTGTGACCGAGGGTTGCATAACCGTGGTGTACTGTCAAAGTACATGGACGATCATGGCATTCAGGTTTATCACAGCCCACTTGAGGCACCTGAAAACCTTGGCCGTGTAGAGCGCCACGGGGCCATTGCCAAAGCTCTTTTCCGAAAGGTCTCAAAAGAAACTCAACCTCTTGGCAGAGAACAGGTTGAGTCAGTTCTGCAAGAGGTGCTCATGGTGAAGAATAATGCATCACGTGTAGGAGGTTTTTCACCATCACAGTGGGTATTGGGTAAGGCACCACGCTCAGACCCCAGTCCATTGTCCGAAGAGCGATTTGCAGAGCTCGGAGCCTTGGAGGCCCAGCACAACCCCGAAAGCATTTTTGCTTTGCAGCATCTTGCTAGGCAGGAAGCACAGAAGGCATTTGTATACCTCGATTGCTCCAAGCGTGTCCAGCGAGCCATGACCAAAAACACATCACCTTTTCCGAGAGACTTCGAAATCGGGGACTTGGTGACTTTTCGCAGGGATAACCAGCGGGGAGGCACACGATGGAGTCCCACAAGTAGGGTGATAGGCCATGAGGGAGAGAGAAACCTATGGTTGCTTTGTGGAAATGTCCCAGTACTAGTGGCCAGTCAGAATGTGAAGGTAGCTACTCCAAGTGAAGCATTGGCACATTCGGTTCTCCATGGGCAGCCTGTCATTCCTGATGAGGTCGTGATCGGAGGTGAACAGCAATCCTTTTTGGATGCTCGAATTTCCCCAGATTCCCAAAGTGACGGATATGAGCCATCCGTACTTGAGGCGCCTGAACCAATTGCCTCAGGCGAGGGAGCTGAACTACCATTCATAAACTGGGGAGATAATAATGAGGATTTACCACCAATACCCGAAGATGAAGAATTGGATAATGCAGGGGTAACTGTACCGGAAATCACCATTGATGGTGAAGACATGTCAGATGAAGTAAATGGTACAGATGAACTGATTGAAGCTGCCAGTTCCAGTCTGGACAGACGGAGATCAAGTGTTGCCCCTCGTGCCGACAGAAACGTGAGACCCCGTCTTGAAACCCAACCTGAGAGTGAAAGAGGGTCATCGCTTATGCCTTCCAGGCGCGAATCTGTTGACTCAGCAGACAGACCTTCTGCTGAAGCACCACAGCTAACACCATCACAAGCCGCAGGGCCACAATCATGGCCCAATCCGTATGACAGTCTTAATGACCTTCCAGCATCCCTGAGGAGCCACTTTGAGCGAGCCCGAAATGCGGCCGCACAATGGTCCGTAGAACAAGTTGAACAGTCCACAGCCATGTTCACATGTTTTATGGCAGGGAAAGATGAGATTGTAGAAGAAGGCAAGAAGGTCCTGAAAAGCATTCATTTCGAATCAGCGCCACCTGAGGTTCAAAAGGCACTGCAAGCTTCTCGAGCCCAGGAATGGTCAAAGTTTGAAAGCTTCGGAGCAGTCGTGCCACTGACTCCGGATCAAGTGCAAGAGCTTGTTGCTGAGGGACATCAGATTATACCCTCCAAATGGGTAGATGTTGACAAAGCTCAGTACAAGAAAGGCCGAGATCCAAATTACCAGCCACAATACAAAAGCAGGTTAGTTTCCTGCGGAAACTTCGAATGCAGTGACGGTCTGAGGTCAGACAGCCCCACAGCTGACATTGAGGTTCACAACCTCATTTGCCGTTGGTGTGCAGCACATGAGCTCGACTTGCATTCGGCTGATGTGACATCAGCATATTTCCAAGGACGACCTTTGGACCGGGTACTCCTGATGAGACAACCCCGGGGTGGCATCCCAGGAGTTGACGAGGGAATTGTTTACCTCGTAAGGGTACCAATCTATGGACTCACAGACTCAGGTCGCGGATTTTGGCTGCGATTGGATGGAGATGCCAAGAAAGAAGGCATGAAAGCATCACAGTTTTTCCCAGGTCTTTATTTTCTTCCAGGGAGCGATGGTGATACATGCGCATTGATGTGCACACATGTTGACGATCTTTTGTACTGTTACTTGCCCGAAGGTAAGGAAGTCATCGAACGTTTTCTGAATAAGTTCAACGTCGGCAGCACCGAGGTGAACGAGTTCAGGTATTGCGGAAAGCAGTTTTCGCGTTCAGGTGACGGAGACATTTTCGTCGACACCGTCGATAACACCAGGAAGATCAAACCAATTCCAATTGACGCTGGCCGTCCAGGCAGTGAGAAGATTTCAGGTGATGACATCACACGACTTAGGTCGGTGACCGGGTCACTCGCTTGGGTTGCTCGCCAGACAAGACCAGATTTGGCGTACCGAGTTAGCCGCCTACAATCTTCAATCAAAAATGCCACAGTCAGCACTTTGTGCGACGCAAACGCAGTTGTACAACTTGCTCACAAAGGTGATCAGGTAAGGCTTCGTTTTCCAAGCGGACATCTCAAATGGGATGAGATAGGTCTGATCACAATTACTGACACTTCATTCTCCAATGAACAGAACTACCGTTCCCAACAGGGACGTTGTCACTTTCTTGGAGACCTCACAGAGATCAAGAGCAGTAGCTGCAACACGTACAGAGTAATGCCTCTGTCTTACAGCTCTACCACGATCCGACGTGTGTGTCGAAGCACGCTCCAGGCTGAGACGTATTCACTGCAGCATGGTCTCGAAGCAGGGGACAAGCTCAGAGGTGTCTTGGCAGAACTCAAAGGCCAGATCAAATCCATGCGGACATGGGAAACTGATGCAAGGAGCTGCGTACCGCACTTAGCCCTCACAGATTGCCGCTCATTGTCAGACCACTTGGCTTCCGAGATCCTGGCGAAGGTGAGCGACAAAAGACTTGGCATCGAATTACAAAGTATTCACGAATCCTACTGGAATGATGACCGAAAAACATGGGACATCTATCCGAATGGAGGAGATAAGCTGTCATGGATAGCAACACACACCATGATCAGCGACTGCCTTACAAAGAGTATGAAACCAGATTTCATAATTCGAGTGTTGGCAGAGTGCATGTACAAAGTACAGAAGCAGTAATAACACCACTGCGTTCTTTCTCCGCAATGCCCTGTACAGACATAGCTGTATATATTTCTATGTGACACCTGAAGAACAGGTTGAGTGTCAATTTGTGGTATGTGATACTCCATGTAAAGGCCAGGTTGTCACATGTAGTGTCTGCTGCCATTTCGGCTATCAGGGCCCTTGAGCTACATCGCTATCGCTACTAGCAAAAAGAGCCGCGTTGGACTGCACGATACCGTTGCCAATTCACACCAGTTTGGCATCTTGAGACGTGTTTAACATGGCCTTTCCCATGCAAGTCAGAACCTTGAAGATAGGAACAAAGTTGAAACGTTAAGGCATCTTTTGTCATCCACCCTCCCCCACAAAAACAATATCTTGAACACATGGGGGCAATTCTCAGCTTGAGTCATTTCTCAATTTACCATTTTTTCAATAATTCCCCTTTTTCGGCCCTACAAAATCTACAAAGCAATATGTACGTTGGAAGAAAGTTGACATGTGGAGTCGGTGGTGCAAATTTACCCCCCTCGACCCTACAAAACACTACGTTCATTGCATGCGGAAAGTTACCACGTGGTGTCATTTTGAAAATTTACCCCCCCCCCTCGAACCTTCAAAACCATGCGGTTGATTCAATATGAAGAAGGTTGACATGTTCAGTCATTGCTATAGGTTTATCTTCCGGCCCCCTACAAAACACTTTGTTCGACATATGAACAAACTTGGCATCCTGAGTCATGTTTGAAATGTCTTTTCCTTCCCCTACAACAAAGCAAGAGGTTGAACGAACAAAATTGGAACCTCGAGTCATGTTTGGAATTTACGCCTACTGGACCATACACAGCAATACATTCAACATATGGATCAAGTTGACATGTTGATTCATTCTTTTGGATTTACCTGCCCTGTCCCCTACGAAGTATGAACCAGCATGGCATCTTGACTTATGTCAAAATGTGCCTTGCCTTCCCCTACAACAAGACAATACGTTGAACACAATCTTGAGTCATTTTTGAAATTTACAGTCCCTCGGCCCTACAAAGCAATACGTTTAAAAAAACGGTGAAACTTGACACGTCAAGTTATTTTTTCAAATTTAGCCTCCCTCGACCCTACAAAGCAAACGGTTGAACACGTGCAGAAAATTGACATGTGGGCCATGTGGGGGTATTTTCGAAATTTATAACCTCTCGTCGACTCTGACATGTTGAGTCGTCGTTTTGAAGTTTGAATGTACTCCCTCCATCTCCCCCCATCGCTTTTAAAACGCTACGCTCAACATATCGACCAATTTGGAATCTTGAGTCATTGTTATGTTTTTCCCCGCTGTCCCCTACAAAAACACTACGTTCAACATATAAAACAACTTGGCATCATGAACCATGCTTAAGGTGTCTTTTCCTTCCCCTGGAAATTATTACGTTGAATAAACAAAATGAAATGATTTAACCTGATATTACTATTCGTTATAGATTTAACATGATTTAACCCCTTCGACCTCACAAAGCAATACGCTCAACAGAATATGTGGGGTAAATTGTTGAAATTTCCCGCCCATCCACCCTACAAACCAATACGTTCAACACACGAACAAAGGTCAGAGACAGGGGCGTCAAAACGGACAAAGATCTCCTGTGGCAGTCGTACAGGGTGGTCAGGGGGTCGTCAGGGTTCGTCAGGGGTTGTCGGGGTCGTCAGGGT